AGGCCCATCATGGTACCCCTCCATTGGCAACATCTCTTTAGTTCTTCCCAGGCTCCCGTCCTCAGTCTGATCAACAGGGCCTATCTCAGTACGCTAGTTGGCCAGCTTATATGCGAAGGTTCCTGCTTGGAGACGGAGCAGCAACCCCAGGGCTTCCTCTCTGGACGCTCTTCACCTGCCTTTTAGTACTCTGACCCTTGCTCTCTGGATGGGTCAGTCTCAGTTCAGCTCCCTTCTGGGGGCCTAACAGGTCCATGTATAGTCCCTTCCCTGAGCCTGTCTAAACTCCCTTCTCCTCAGGGCACAGTCACTTCTCCAATGGCTGTTGGAGGATAGGGAGAACCTGGGCCTACCCCCTACTCTGGGTCCAACCCAGGGAACCTCTAAGTAGCAACCACGCACCACATCCCTTTATCTAACTGCATTTCCCTGGGCCACTTCCCAGTAGCCCATCTTAACTGAGTCCTGGCAGCCAGTCAGAAATTATTCCCTCGCTTCATCACCAGCAAATACCTGCCTTAGCCCTCGCTGCCCACCAGAAGTACTTCTTACACTTCCCCAGTCACTGCTAGCAGGCTGATCTGTTCAGGCCTTTCAGCTCCTTTTATATGAGCCTGCTGGGCCCCGATTGGCTGCTCCCTGCAGCCCCTCTCATTGACTCTGTCCCACAAGCTGCTCTACACAGGTTGGAGGCCCTCTCTATTGCTCTTTTCTGGGGCAGGGTGAGGCAGGGCCATGAGGCCTCCAGCAGGGAGTCTCCAGCCCTAGTCTATTCTGTCACAATCTCCTAATTAAAAAGCTAGTTTTCAAAAAACAGTGTCACCGTACACATCAGACATGTATTTAATCAGCAGTTACTCTAATAGCAAATAATCCAGTTATGTAACAATACAAACACTGAAATCAGGCTTCAGTGGACACCATGATCAGGTCAGACTAGAGAGGATCATAGAAATAGATCACCTATCAATGTCCCTTCTAGTCCTACAAGTCCAGTCCCCTGCATGGAGCAGGACTAAGTATTATCTAGATCATCCCTGACAGGATGGAGGTTCTACAATCTCCCTAGAGATAATTAACTACCCTGCCTCGGCCCCTGACCACAGCCCAGCTGCAGCTCTGCACCCAGCCCCGGTTTTGGCCCCAGCCCCAGCTCCAGGCCCTGGGCACGGCTCTGTTCCTGCATAATGCATTTCGTGCATTAATATACCGACATCTAAGATGTAAGTTAGATTTCCCCCCTATATTCCCTCATCTCCTCTTTGTGCCTGCTATGATTGCCCACATTCCCTCCAGATTCCAACCCTTCACCCAGGTCTCCATGTTCTGGGCCTACCTGTGGGCTTGCGTCTCCTGCCCAGGTCAAACCTAGTTTAAAGCCCTCCTCACTAGGTTAGCCAGTCTGTATCTGAAGATACCCTTCTTCCTTGATACGTGGACCCCATCTCTGCTCAGCAATTCTCCTCAGAACAACAGCCCATGTTTAAGGATGCCGAAGTCCCCCTGGTGACACCATCCACACAGCCATGCATTCACCTCCACTATGTGTCTGTCTCTGCCTAAGTGCCTACCCTTGATTGGATGGATTGATGAGAATACCACCAATCAAATGTTCCCTTCAGGCCTTATCATCTGTAAATCTACAAACTCATTCTCATTCGACCCCAATTTTGGAGCACTTTCAGGAAAGCAAAGAGGCTCCACGGTACTAGCAGCACTGCAGCCCAAACTGTCCACAGGCTGCCTTATATTATATATGTTGAACAGGAGTGCAGACAGAGGGAGTCCTGTGGATGTCACGGAACCAGGGGAAGTTGAGGAATTCATTGTAATTGCACTTGCAATAGCCCAGCATGAAATGGAGCTGATCTCTGGCTCTGTTACAGCAAAGCAAATGGGCCAAGTAACTCCTCAAACAAATTTAAAAACATTTTAAAATACACAAATAAAGTAGGATAAAGTGGAGCCCAACTCGCAACTATTCATTCCGTTTTTGTGTGTTACGGTGGAGTGGACACTGGGGACGGACTACGGCGTGGGCACTGACCTGGGACTCAGGAGATCTGGGGCTGTTCCCAGCTCTGCCATTGATTTGCTAAGTGACATGGATGAGTCCTTTCCCCTCTCTGGGCTTCTATTTCCCCTCAGCCCTTTTTCTATTACCTACCTAAACACGTTGTTAATGCTGAGCGAAGGCTGCCCAATGCTGCTGTATGCCCTTCCAGCAGGTGGAGAGTTAAGGTACACTCCCCATGAAACCTTAACCCTGTCCTCCTCGAGCAATGCTGCAACAGACTTACTAGCACTCTGCCATTAGAGGCTGTGGCTCGCTGCGGGAACAATGCACATGAGCACTGTAGGACACAATATAATGCCTTTTCTTTGATATGGCAATCCTTGGGTGTAGGTCAAGCGTAGCGAATGGAAGCTACCTACACCTGGCCACCCCCAAGTACTGAGCCTACTCCACACAAAGCACCCCACACTTACAAAATTCTCCTGCAGATTCTCTGAGACATTTCCTTCACTTTCCCCTCATTAAGCCCATGTCAGCAGTCAGGTGGCAGACAATCTCCACAGCAGGAAGTCATCTTTGCTGACACGACCCACAGAACTCAGGGCTCAAATGAAACCTCATCTTTCATGGTACATAAGCACCTTTCCTTGTATCACAGCAACAGCTCTAACAACCTACTCCAACTAATCCCCCCACCACTGAATACAGCGACACCCAACACAGCTGGAGTGCATGTACTTAAATGCTGGAACACAAACAATGGCACATACTCTTAGCACTTCCTCCTCTCCACTTATTGCACTACCCTGCTTACTGTACTATTGCCAGCTCCAGGGGGCAAAGTTAAGGTTTTGTTGCCAGGACAGCAAATACCTTTGTGACACTGTGTGTCCCCAAAGCAGCACCCTGGCATCCCTGTATTCACTACTGTCATTATAATTATATGTTTTGTACAAAGTATGCCTTTCAGAGTGGTAGCTGTGTTAGTCTGTATTAGCAAAAACAATGAGGAGTCCTTGTGGCACCTTAGAGACTAATAAATTTATTTGGGCAGAAGCTTTTGTGGGCTAGAACCCACTTCATCAGATGCATGGAGTGGAAAAATACAGCAGCAGGTATATATACACATAGTACATGAAAAGATGGCAGTAGCCTTACCAAGTTGGGGGATCAGTGTAACGAGATAATTCAATTAACAGTATAATACCAAGGGAGGAAAAATCACTTTTGTAGCAGTAACGAGGGTAGCCCATTTCAAACAGTTGACAAGAAGGTGTGAGTAACAGTATGGGGAAATTAGTGTTTGTAATGACGCATCCACTCCCAGTCTTTATTTAGGCCTAATTTGAAGGTGTCCATTTTGCAAATTAATTCCAGTTCTGCAGTTTCACATTGGAAATTGTTTTTGAAGGTTTTTTTGTTGAAGAATTGCCACTTCTAAGTCTGTTATTGAGTGACTAGGAACATTGAAGTGTTCTCCTACTGGTTTTTCAACGTTCTAATTCCTGATATCAGATTTGTGTCCATTTATTCTTTTGCATAGAGACTGTCTGGTTTGGCCAATGTACATGGCAGAGGGGCATTGCTGGCACATATCACATTGGTAGATGTGTAGGTGAACGAGCCTCTGATGGTGGCTGATGTGGTTAGGTCCCATGATGGTGTTCCTTGAATAGATATGAGGACAGAGTTGGCATCAGGGTTTGTTGCAGGGTTTGGTTCCTAGGTTAGTGTTTTTGTTGTGTAGTGTCTAGTTGCTGGTGAGTATGCCTTGTGAGGTATCATTTCAAAAGTCGTGATATGTTGAACATTAATATCCTGTTGGATTGTATGTGTGTGTTACTGAAAGATGTTGTGAAGGGGTGGGGTGGGGTGGGGAAAATGACAGCCACGCTTGGCCTCACTCTCCCTACAACACAACACCTGAGGAACAAAGACTGAACTGGGAAAAAGGAGGTCCCAGGTGGGAAAGAAGAAAGTCCACCCAGCTTTCATACACAGGCAGGCTGTTTGTACTATTAACAGGGTGACACACCACTTGATTCAAATCCTATCTAGTTTATAAAGAATTGTGGGAGATGCTGGGCTGCAGAAACAGCAAAATGAATAAATAGGGGATTTAAAATACAGTTTTTACTACAGATTTAGATCAATTTCCCATGGCCTCAGAGTCTGGAGATCAACCCATGGAATTTTTATATATTAGAGAGGTCAGGAAACAAGATGTCTTCAAAGATATCAAATTTAACCAATATGTACATCATTCTTAACTAGGTTGCCAACTTTCTAATTGCACAAAACCTAATATCCTTGCCCCACTACTTCCCCAAGGCCCTGCCCCACCCCTTCTCTGAGGCTCCACTCCCACTCACTCCAGGCCCCCTCCCTTGATTGCTCACTTTCCCCCTCCCTCACTCACTGGGCTGAGGCAGGAGCTTAGAGTGCAGGAGGGGGTGAGGGCTCCAGCTGGAGGTGCGGGCTCCGGGGTGGGGCCAGAGATGATGGGTTCAGGGCTGGGGTTGGGGTTCAGGGCAGATATGGGCTCCAGGAGGGGGATCAGGGTTAGGGTGCAGGAGGGGGTTCGGGTGTGGGCTCCAGCCAGGCAGCACTTACCTCAGGCGGCTCCTCGTTGGTGGTATAGCGGGGCTAAGGCAGGCTCCCTGCCTGCCCTGGCTCTGTGCTGCTCCCGACCAATGGGAGCTATGGAGCTGGCACTGGGGGCAGCACGTGGAGCTTCCTTGATCACCCCTGCACATAGGGGCTGCAGGGACATGCCGGCTGCTTTCGGGAGCTGTAAGGAGCCAGGGCAGGGAGCCTGCTTAGCCCTGCTGACCAGACTTTTAACAGCCCAGTCAGCAGTGATGACTGAAGCTGCCAGGGTCCCTTTTTGACTGGGCACTCTGGTTGAAAACCGGACACCTAGCAACCCTATTCCTAATTCATGCTCATTTGATACAACAGAAATAGACCAGACTGACAAAAGTGAGTTTAAATGACAGTAAATATTTATTAGATATAAAACAAACTATTTTCACAATTACAGGACAAATTTCATTTGGCTACACAATTTTCCTCAAAAGGTTCTATAGCTTATTTAAAAATCTCATTATTTGCTGAAAAGCGGTAGTAAACAAAAATCTCATTCCTTGGCACATTCATCAGGCACAACCAGATTTCCGCACAACACTGAACAGGACAAACACATTCATTCTGTACCAATAGTGAAGCTTCAACAAAATACAGAATATCAGGAACCTATTTTACCAGGACAATGGTAGGGGCAGTCTCATACTTTGGCACATTCAACAAGGCGCCTCTTGGAGAAAATTTCATTTTGGGGGGACTGGGGAGGGGCAATGTATAGATGACAACTGCTCCCACCATTCAATGTAAGATAGATCAAAAGAAGGAATAATCAAAGGGGTTGCATATTTTGGGGGTGTCCAAGGCTCATCCAGTTCCCGTCACAAATAAAAGGAAGACCTTTGATTCCACTGAGCACATGTAGTGTTACGAAAATTCCTGGGAAACCTACAGAATAGAAAAAGACCATTTATTCACACTCAGCCCAAACTTTGTTAAGGTGAAGTTAAGGTTGTTATTGTACAGCTGGGCTCGCTATGACCCCAATTTTTGTGGGACTGGGAGTTCCAAACCCCAACATTAGAAAAATTGGACAATGAATCAATGGTGCTGCACAAAGCACCGTAGGGGTCCACAGAACTTTATGCTGATGTGAAGCTGTAGTGGGCACAGAGAAATGGTCAGGGAGTTGCTATTATCTCCCTGAGGGAAGAGCTAAGGTTGTGTGCCTGTACTCTTTTATGATTTCCAGGCATTTTGATACCTCCCGGTGCTACAATTTTAATACAGCCAAAAGCAAGGTGCAATGGATCTAGGAACCAAAAACATAGCTGATAATTACAGGATGGGGACTGTATCCTGAAAAGCAGGGACTCAGAAAAGGACTTAAGGAATCATGGCAGAAGCCAACTGAACAAGAGCTCCCAGTGTGATGTGGTGGCTAAGAGAGTGAAGACACTCCTTGGATGTATAAACCAGGGAATACTGAATAGAAGAAAGGAGGTTTCAGAGGAACAGCCGTGTTAGTCTGTATTCGCAAAAAGAAAAGGAGTACTTGTGGCACCTTAGACACTAACCAATTTATTTGAGCAAGAAAGGAGGTGGCTTGTTCATGGCACTGGTGAGACTACTACTGATACTGGATCCAGTTCTGGTGTCCACACTTTAAAAATTATGTTGATAAATTTGGGAGAGCTCAGAAAAGAGCTTCAAGAATGATCTGAGATTTGGAAAGCCGACCTTATAGCGAGGGATTAAAGCTCTATTTAGTTTACTTAAAGAAAGATTAACAGGTGATGATCACAGCCTACAAGGACCTACAGAGGGAGAAGATTTCTGATAGCAGAGCTCTTTTATCTCCAAGAAAGAGGAAGACGAAGATCCAAAGCCTGGGATCTGAAGCTGGGTAAATACAGACTGAAAATAATCTACTTACCTAGGTATTCATATATCCCCCTCTGACAGCATCTGAGCACCTCACACTCATTAACGAAGTTCATCTTCAGAAGTCCCAACCCTCCTGTGAGGCTGTTATCCCTTTCTCACAGATGGGGAACAGAGGCACAGCATAGAGTAAGGACTGGTTTACATGGGAAAGTTACACATGCTTATGGTGAGAGTTTAAACCAGGTTAGGTAAACTGGTGCACAAAGGTTTTGTGGACACTTATTGTGGTATAAATCAGATTTATTTTGGTTCATCTTAAGTCAATTAGGGACAGGTTTAACCTAAGCAAAACCTAAACCAAAACAAGTGTGTCCACACAAGGATTTGCAACAATTTAGTTAACTTGGTTTAAAAACCAGTTTAAGTTAAATTGGTGGAACTCTCTCATATAGACAAAGCCTAAGTGATTTCCTCAAGGTCACACAAGAAATCTCTTCTTCAGCTAGAAACCGAAGCCAGGTCTCCTGAGTTCCAATCTGTTGAGTCTTTTGTTCTTTACAAAACAAAGAAAATATGAAGAATCTTCACAAACACAGTTGAGTCCCAAATAACCATGTTTACTGAATGTACACAAACGTTCCAGGTCTAGCTACCTATACTGCTTCTCTGATTGGTTTCTGGCAGCTTCTAATAACACAGAACACAGTGAGTACACTAGAGGGCCCACAAACTATTTAAAGGGATACTGTCCTATTCCATACACTACACCATTCTTTTTCTCCAAATAAGGTTTGAGGGCTATTAGCTACTGGAACAACTTACCTAGGGTGTTGTGGATGCTCAATGCCTTAAGATTGGAGGCTCTTTCTAAAAGACCTGCTCTAGCTCAAGCAGAAGATAAGAGCTCAATGCAAGAACCACGGAGCGAAATACTATGGCCTGTGTTATGCAGGTCAGACTAGATTATCACAGTGGTTCCTATTGGCTAAAAGTAGTTGACTGTGACTCCTTGAATTGGGGTCTGGTTCTATGTTAGTCATGGCCCCAGCATAGATTAATACAGTCTTCAAGTTACCCTAGTCTATGGCAGCTGGTGTAGCTGGGCACAGAGTATTCTAGTCAAGCCCCCAGCCTGCTCTGACAAAGGCCCCGTGCAGAAGGCTGAAGGAGAAAGGTAGAACAAGGAGCTAGTTATGCTGGCCTGTACCCACTGGGGACTCTCCTGCACCAGGAGAATGCCCTGCTGGGGAGATCCAGCACCAGGTCACAGCAGCGAATCTAGTCCAATTAATTTAAAGCTACAGCAAGGAGAAGCTTTTAACAATGACATCAGTGAGCAAATGGCAAATGTTTCCATGGGAGGCACTTGTAGCACTGCTGCTGGAAATCCTCATGTCAAGGCTTCGAGACGGTCAGTGATTTTGCCACAGAGCAGGGGCGTAGACTAAGAGTATGTATACAAAGGCAGCCTGTGGAAGAGACACTCCCAGCCTGTGTAGACAGACTTGGGTTTGTGGGGCTCGTGCTAGTGCTCTAAAATTTGCTGTGTGGACAACAGTTTGACGTTGCGGCTCAGGTGGGAGCTCGGATGCTGAAGCCTTGGGAGGCAGGTAGGCTTCAGAGCCTGAGTTCCCAACCAAGCCACAACGTCCAAGTGCTGTCTGTGCAGCTATTTTTAGAGCAATGGCGCGAGCCTCACAAACCCAAGTCTGTCTACCCAGGCTGGGAGTCTCCCTTCCGCAAGCTGTGTGGACATACCCAAAGTGACCTTGAAGAGGTTCCTTTTAGGTCAAAGGATTCTATGAATCACCCTCCACGCTGAATCAAGATTGGATCTCAACCTTTGGTTGGTCTTTTTTGTGCAATGTTGCATTTCCACCATATCTGATCTGAAAATTTGGCAAAAGCATTTTCACAGCATCACACAGGTCTGCAAAGTCTTTGTTCACAGGGATGTCCTAGAGGGAGAAATCATCACAGATCAGTGTACAGTACGATTTACCTTCTCTCAAAAGGTAAGTATCACAACAGCAAAGGTAGGCATCATCACGCATTCTTGCTCTCAGGCATCCATGCAACCAATACAAGCTTTGACAAAGCTCCTTCAGCTCAGGGAGCTGGGTCATCAACCAGTTCACCAGCAAATGGCAATACCAAAGCTCTGGTGGATATAAAATAAAACATGAAACAAACTAGCTCCAGCTATCAGGAGAAGAACAGGAAACACGAAGACGATGAGGAAAAGGGTCAAAGGCAGCTGACAAATCAAGAAGGGAGGACGTGAAATTCCAAGCAAGCAACTCACAACTCTGTTGAGGGCTGTGTCTCTAGAATGATCAGAGCACAAAGTGGCTGGAATGCAAAAAACATTGCATAAGGGTGAGATAGAAAATGCAATAAGCAGCCTGTCCACAGAGTTCACACAAAGCCTAAGGAGGGAGTCAGGAAAGTGCTGGAACAGAAAGCAGGCTCAGGAGAAGGGTTTGTAAGAACATGAGGAACAGCATTTGAAAGGAGGTACTGGAGAGTAAGTGCAGGCAGGATAGTCAGGTCTCTCTTTGGCTGAAGAATACATTTGCTCTGTTCTCAGCCAGTCAGAATGCAACAGGTCACTACAAACAGGGAGGAACTGTTGCTCTATTATTAATAATTGAGAGCATTATAACCTGTGTTTTTCTTTATAAATTAGAAATAAGCCATCAACAAAAACATTTGGAAAAGGCAGTTTTATAATAACCACAACAGCATTCACCAGGGGAAGGGGTCTTTCACTTTCTGGGAAACTTCAACATTAAATAGAAGTAGACCCTCTGTTAAAACCAGATGGTGGTTTATGATGTAACTATAGAAGTCAGACAGCTAAGTTATGGGTACCACAGTATCCGCAGCTCAGTCAAAATAGGTCTAACTACAAGTATTTGGTCTTTGTTCAACGTGCTATTATGCCATGTTGCATAGATGCAATGTGGTGGAACTATGCTATTTGTAGAAACAATCATTCTGAATGTTCTGACTTTGGAGCCTTCATAGTCCACCCTCCTTTTTCAGTAACTCCCTTTGTGCTGTCTGAGGAATGGAAAGGAAGAGGAACAGAGCAGAGCGTCTACCCCACTGTGCTGAGCTGAGGGATAGGTCAGACACCCAATGGCCATTAACCACGTCTCCCTCCAGCTCCCAGATGTGTGCAGCAAACGTGGCTGCCATGTAAGCAGGTGACAGCAGAGGCCAGGAAGATCATCCTCCATATTGGAGGGCAAGGTGCTAGACTGCAGGGCAGAACAGGGAGCAACAGGCTGCAGGCTCTGGTTCACATAGAGGGAGGGGTATAAAATGCTTGAATTCAAAAGACTGTTGAATACAAGCACTCCTTGTCTACACGAGACCATCTGCATGCCGCATTTCACAGGAGCGGCCAGAGACTGATGCTAAAGGCTCCCCTGTTGTTGCTGCAGAATGGCTCACGCAGGATCTGATTCAATAAGCACTCATGCCAGTGACATTTTAAATTTGGGATTTCATTTCACTTGCCCCCCCGCTGTTTAACACTTACTGAGAAGTCCAAGATTTCTACCACGGCACCAGAATTTGCTTGTATAGATTTGAGAATCCCAAAGCAGCCTTCACTCTGCATGGGATTTCTGGCCATCTAAAAAGGCAGACACAGGAAACAACAATAGGAACAATACAGATTGCAAGTTCTTTTAATTAATGCACCTTTCTTTAACACCTCAAACTGCAGCTGTCTTACAGAGGAAAATCAGCCTTCTCAAGTGTCTTCAGGCACATGCCCTGGGTATGAGACAAAAGCAGAAACTCACAGTGATAAGAATGGATGGTGATAACTATTTGAAAAAATCTCACATCTACAAGAACTAAACTTATTAAAAAAAGTTTACTTTTAGGGATCATCAAGATTTGCCCAGGTCTCACTAAAGCAACTACATAACCTTATTATGGTCACCTTGTCCTCCCTCAGCGTCCACAACTCCACTCTCTCCTTGTTCTCCTCCTCCGCATCCCATCTTTCAATGAGGGTTCCCACCAGGCTCCATCCTTGCCTTTCTTTCCTCCCTTTACACGCCATCACTGGCTGACTTTACTAATGTGTATCTTAGTTACACATCCTTGAACCTGACCTCGACTGTACATTTTACACCAGTACAAGATGCTTTGCTGCATCCAGCTTCCGCTGGGCAATGCGGAAAAAGCTGTCAAGGAGCTGGTTATGGCTCCATAATTCTCTGCTTGACCCTGTAGGCCACTCTGCCAAATGCAAGCTGCCAGTGGTCCCCACAGGATAACACACCAGCTGGGAACATCTAAAATGCCATATACCTGGTCATACCCACTCTCTACCCGTCCATGACCTTCTTAACCCAAGTTTCAGGAGCTCCCTTTGTGCTGTCTGAGGAATGGAAAGGAAGAGGAACAGAGCAGAGCGTCTACCCCACTGTGCTGAGCTGAGGGATAGGTCAGACACCCAATGGCCATTAACCACGTCTCCCTCCAGCTCCCAGATGTGTGCAGCAAACGTGGCTGCCATGTAAGCAGGTGACAGCAGAGGCCAGGAAGATCATCCTCCATATTGGAGGGCAAGGTGCTAGACTGCAGGGCAGAACAGGGAGCAACAGGCTGCAGGCTCTGGTTCACATAGAGGGAGGGGTATAAAATGCTTGAATTCAAAAGACTGTTGAATACAAGCACTCCTTGTCTACACGAGACCATCTGCATGCCGCATTTCACAGGAGCGGCCAGAGACTGATGCTAAAGGCTCCCCTGTTGTTGCTGCAGAATGGCTCACGCAGGATCTGATTCAATAAGCACTCATGCCAGTGACATTTTAAATATATACTTTATTGTGTTTTCCAAGATCTGCTTTAAAAAAAGCTACTCACATTAAGTCTCTTCAGAGTCTGGTTTTCTTTCAGGCCTACTGCAAACCGCAGAGCTCCTTCCAATGAAATGCGGTTATTGCTTATAACAGAGAAAAAGTAGACTTCTTACATTTTTCATTCCGTGTTCCCAACCCACCAAGCCAGAGCCATACTGTCATGGAGACATTTACTACAGTATGGGCAACAGGAGGACAACATGCTTTACAAACTCACGTGAAGGTACAGGGGACCACTTCACCCACCACTGACATGTGAACACATCTGGAGGGGCATTAATTGCAGCAGGTTAACAGCTCTCTACACACAACAGTTTGAAGGAGAAGTGACAAAGAATCCCATCTCCAACTGAAGTTGCAGGGAGTAGACGTACCTGTCTGGGACACCAGTGTTAATGTTCCTGCTCTCACAGAAAGTGCTGTGAGATCTTTAGTGACCCTGAATGCTCATGGCCTCAGTGTTAAATCTCATCTGAAGAACAAGCTCCAGCAGCACAGCATTCAGCAGCTATACCACTTCCTGAAGTGCACAAGTTTTCCCTGAAGGACTCCCATCCAAATAATGACTCTGACTGGCCCTGCTTAGCTCATGTCTATTTCTGAGCATTTGCTTTTATTGTTAGTGTAACAATTAAAACCTCAGTATTTGTTCCCTGACATTTTAGTTTTGTAAGTATATCCAGGTAGCCGCCAGCACAGCAGCAGCCACTGTCTGCTCTTTGGAAGCTTAGGCACATCATGCACTGGGATGGGAGGTTCATTGCCAGCTTGCCTGTGGGATTTTACACTGCAGGGAGTACTTGGACACTACCCTCTTGCTCACAGCCTGTCTCATGACCATTTCTGGTTGTGTTCATGATCTCCATAACTGCATCTCTCTGAAAATTACCTGGTCTCACAGCTCTCCCACTAACTTCACCAGCCTCTGTTGTTTTCTTGACTCTCCCTTTGCTGAACCAATCAGCCTCCCCTTTGAATTGATTCCTATCGGAACATTATGTCCACTGTAAGCCCTATTAAATCAACAGTACTTCTCACACCTAACTATTCTTAGTATATAGGCCAGTCCCAGGCCTCCAAGTACATAGGCCAGTGCTTTGAAGAACAAAGGAACTTGTCCAGCTCTCATTGTGAGCACAAACATCTCATGCTGTACAAGGTGCCCTCTAAGCTCCAAAGTCCCATTTCACTTTTCTTCTCATTTCCAGAGGTGCTAGTAACCCTAGATCCTTATCACTAAATTTCTTTCTATCCATCCTCCCCAGCCAGATGGAATCAATTTATTTCCTTCCCAATTTAAGATTGCAATGATATCACCTTGACCCCAGTAATCCTCCTCACTCCTTTACACCATCGCTTTCTCTGGGGTCACGAGGCTGACTACAGAGCTGGGGCCCTGGCAGTAGGACAGTAAATAACAGATGCCAGCAGATCTTCCCCAGCTAGAAATTTCATGGCCAAACTTCCATTACATGGCATTCCCTTTGTCATCTTAGCGCCAGCAAGACTGTCCCTCCTTACACATAAAACCGAGGTCAATGGCTGCTCAGGGTTTCAGCCACCAGAGGGTGGCTTTCACTTTGAAGTGTGGGACGTTTTAAATCATGACCTGAGCCTGACTCACCTAATGTTGAGCTCTTCCAGCACATTGTTGACTTTAAGGGCCTCCCCCAGAGCAGCTGCTCCGTTGTTGCTGAAGCCATTGTAGGAAAGGTCCAGAACTCTGAGAAACATGTTTGCCTGTGGAACAAGCCAGAATTACTGGAAAAAACCTCACCGTAGCTTGAGACAGAAACAGCCATCTGCGTCACTCTCGCAGAATGACCTTCCATGGACCATGCTTCCAAACCACAGTTTGGAAAGTGATGCAAAGGGAAAGTGAGCGAGAGGAAGAGAATGAGAAAAGGACATTTCATACCAACAACCGTAACTAGTGGTGGGTGAACCTCTGAAAAATTCTCTCTCCCTAAAGGACCCTCCTAAAATGTCAGGCTTCCCTCTTCCTTCAACCCCTTTCCTTTCCCTTGGAAGATCTCACTTGTAGAACACAGGTCTGGCAGCTTCTTGACTTAACCGCAGCTGCCCTTTGATCTGAATATCACGTGCAAGTAGGTTGTGAGTCTCACAGAGTACAGCACAAAGGATTAGTGGCTGCTGGAGTCCAGTAGCTGGGCCCAGAAAGAATCTCACAAGTATGGGAGTTGTGCAGCGGGGATACCTATTGGCTGAGGGGGAGCTAGTGGCTAATGAGCACATTTCATTGAGGGAGCTACTGGATGGTTCGCAAGACAACGGGATCCACACTGTTGGCTCCATGCTCAGTGCAGTCTCCAGCACCTGGTCAAACTCCTTGTAAAAGGGGCAGGATAACAGCTAAAGAAGGAGCAGTAAAGGGTAAGAGTGCTGAGTGAACAGTCTGGGATGGGATAGCATCAGTGAGCTCAGTCTGGATGCCTCCAGTATTGCTAACCCGAACAGTTCAAGTCATCAGTCAGACACCAAAATATCATGCAATCAGCCCCACCCCACAAAAAATCACAAAATCAGGAAGGATTTTTTTAAGGTGCTTTTCTGGTGGCCTGGGGCAGTTCCTTCAGGAATATCAAGCCTGGTCTTCTTTGTGCAGGACAACTGCTTCCTGAACTAGACAATGGCAGCCCTCATCTGAAAGGAAAGGGGTGTTGATGTTGAGTGGGCAGCTTGAGTTAAATAGGTATTAACAAAAATAAAAACAGAAAAACCCACAGGTTTTAAACAATCTGACTAGAAATCTCTTCCTCTTTCAACTGTTTAAGTCTCAATCTCTTGTGATGTCATCAGCTCATTGTTTCACTTCACCTCAGATTCTTCCAGCAAAACAAGAAAGTCAAAATTGGAGATTTCCATTGTAAATATCTACCTATATTAACAACATACACACACAAAAGCCAGGCAGAATATCTTCAACAGAATGAAGCAAAAAACAAAACAAAAAAGGAAGAATTGTGTCTCCTCTGCAGCTCATTATTCTCTTGTTGGACCCCCCTCCTCCTCAATCTTGCAAGATGCAGCATATAAAATGGTAGAAAAAAAAGTAATACAATGTACTGTATTAGATAAATAATCTGATAATTAAAAACAGCATGATAAAAGCACATGCACAACTAGACAGAAGTAAAGTTTCACACAGCCTGAGCATTGGCATTTCCTGGCCATCCTAATGTACTCACCAGTTTTATGAATGGAATTTAAGGTGGCTTCATTTTTTTTTTTTTTTTTTTTAAGAAACAGATTCCAATCTAGAATTTAATCTTGAACTACTAATTTAATCTGGAATGGATTTCAATCATCTGATTTTAAAAAATAATTAAGTCAGGTTGAGGCTTTATAAAACTAGCTTGAAAATTTATGCTATTTATAAATGTTAACTGAAATTTGCAATGAATTAAATTATGAATGCTTTTTTTTAAAAAATGCAACTACTAGGAGAAGATTTTACTTGAATTTTATAAAACTGCTATAGACAAAAATCAAAATATTGAAAATTAAGGCCCGATCCTGGAAACCAGATTGGAATATAACTTTATCAACATGAATAATCCTACCCACTCACTGAGGCCACTTGTGGTCTTAAAGTAAGCACATGTGTAAGTGTTTTCAGTAACGGGTTAAAATTGTGTCTGATTAGCGTGAAGTCTGTCTCACTTCAAACCAAAATGATTTAATATTAACAATGTAAAATTATTTAGACTTATTTAATAACACATTAATAAAGTTACTAACTTTGGAATACACGCAGCCCTACATTTTCAAAACCAGGAGCCCTAAAGTTAAGCTCCTAAACTCAAATTTAAGTCCCTACGAGTGGGATTTTCAAAAGCTCCCAGATGACTTACGAGCACGAGTCCCATCAACTTCAAACTGCATTCCCTGAGGGAGCTGTACAGCCTTGCAACGTTTCAGCTTTCTTGGCTTGTGGAACTGCAGTACGTCAGCAGGTGGCGAATATAGCCCAGGTGGTTTGCTTATCAATCTGAAGTTTGGGCTGGTCTCACAGTGAGGATGTTAATAAGGCCCTGGATTGGTCTTTTTCAGGACCAATAAGCATTTTATGTGTGAAACCTCACAATGGGGGGGGGAGAGGGAAACTATGTATAATCAGAAATTCTACTAACAGTTGGAAATTATATAAAACATTCATTTCAGCAATTTAAGAAGATAAAATGGGGAAAAAGTAATGAACTTCAAACTGCAAATGGAAATAAAAATCAAGATTTAATTTTTTTAAAATTGATTTTTAAATCATGATTTTTATCTCCCCGATTTCAAGGCCTATACACTTCCAGATTTCACAGTGTTTTATGTTCAGGTCATGATGGCAGTGTCTACCCAAACAGATGACGCTTAACATGAGTATTACAGGGGGCAAAGACAGGAGATAACACAGACTTCCTACCTCGAAGCCTCTGGCTAAGGCAGCTGCTCCTTGGCTACGGAAGTAGTTCCAGCTGATATTAAGCTCCTTTAGTCCAGAGTTTTCTGCTATTGCCATTCCAAGAACCTCACCTTATGAAACAGGTTAAGAAAAAATTGTAAAGACCCAGGAAAGGATCAGGTGGTTCAGCTGGGCAAGCAGCTCAGGTTATGGTAGGAAACTCTTTGGGTGAGAAATTACAGTTTTTCTCTTTTATGCATCTTGCTGCACAAGCACAGAGCAGGGGCTGCAGGAAGAGCCAGAAAACAGGCCCCACATAGTCAGAGACCACTGAGTGCACATAAAAGGTGGTACAAGGACAAATCCCCATAAGGTGAAACAGAGCCCAACAGGGCTGTAACCAGAGCAGGGCCATTCTCGTGGGCTAGCTGAAGGCCAGACCCAGTAGTGCCTACACCACACAAAACAGCTCTGCTCCTCAACCCTGTGCTCCCTGGTGCCACCCTCAAGTGAGATTACAACCATTGAGAGGTTTCCTCTGTGCAGAAGGCTCAGTGGGATTGAAACAGATAAGAAGGGGAGGAGGTTTCAGGGAGGAGGAAGATGACATCAGGATTAACTGGGCGGGATAAAGCAACAGACCAGGAGGGAAAAAGAGGAAGAGAGCGCAGAATGGCTGGCAGAGAGGATGGGAAATGGAAACAGCATCAGCCTGCAGGAAAACCAAAGGAGAAGCAGAGCTCAACACTGAGCTTCCGGAGGCCAATACCATTGAATTGCACAGTGCCCCCATCTACAGTACCCCAAATTCGACCCAGGAAAGTCGATTTTAGTGCTACTCCCCTTGTCGGGGAGGAGTACAGTAGTCAATTTTAAGACCCCTTTAGGTCAGCTGAACAGGGTTGGTAGTGTACACGCATTCCTTATAAATTCGACCTAACCTCATAGCGTAGAATGGGCCTGAAAAATCAGTAGAGACAGAGCCAGTAACAATTGGGTGGCCCTGAAAGGAGGAGGGGAGGGAGGGAGATGGGTAGGATTGGAAGGAAGGAATCAAAGTAAGGAGAAAAAAAAACCCCAAACCTCCTCCAGTCCTAGAAAGACTCTCTGGCACCTCAGGGTTCTTAGCCCTGGTCTACACTAGGAGTTGAGGTTGAATTTAGCAGCGTTAAATTGATTTAACCCTGCACCCGTCCACACGATGAAGCTCTTTTTTTAGACTTAAAGGGCTCTTAAAATCAATTTCCTTACTCCACCCCCGACAAGGGGATTAGTGCTGAAATCGGCCTTGCCGGGTCAAATTTGGGGTACTGCGGACGCAATTAGATGGTATTGGCCTCCGGGAGCTATCCCAGAATGCTCCATTGTGACCGTTCTGGAAAGCACTCAACTCAGATGCACTGGCCAGGTAGACAGGAAAAGGCCTGCAACTTTTGAATTTCATTTCCTGTTTGGCCAGTGTGGCAAGCTGCAGGTGAGTGCAGAGCTCATCAGCAAAGGTGACCATGATGGAGTCCCAGAATCGCAAAAGAGCTCCAGCATGGACTGAATGGGAGGTACGGGATCTGATCGCTGTATGGGGAGAGGAAACTATGTTCCAGTTTTCGAAATGCCAAAACATTTGTCAAAATCTCCCAGGGCACGAAGGACAGAGGCCATAACAGGGACCCGAAGCAGTGCTGCGTGAAACTTAAGGAGCTGAGGCAAGCCTACCAGAAAACCAGAGAGGCAAATGGCTGCTCCGGGTCAGAGCCCAAAACATGCTGCTTCTATGATGAGCTGCATGCCATTTTAGTGGGTTCAGCCACCACTACCCCAACCATGTTGTTTGACTCCTTCAATGGAGATGGAGGCAACACGGAAGCAGATTTTGGGGACGATGAAGATGAGGTTGTAGATAGCTCACAGCAAGCAAGCAGAGAAACCGGTTTTCCTGACAGCCAGGAACTGTTTCTCACCCTGGACCTGGAGCCAGTACAACCCACCTAAGGCTGCCTCCCGGACCCACCAGGCAGAGAAGGGACCTCTGGTGAGTGTACCTTTTTAAATAGCATACATGGTTTAAAAGCAAGCGTGTTTAATGATTAATTTGCCCTGGCATTCACAGCCAGTACACCTACTAGAAAAGTCTGTTAGCGTGCCTGGGGATGGAGCGGAAATCCTCCAGGGACATCTTCTTAAAGCTCTCCTGGATGTACTCCTAAAGCCTTTGCAAAAGGTTTCTGGGGAGGGCAGCCTTATTTCATCCACCATGGCAGGACACTTTACCATGCCAGGTCAGTAGCACGTAGTCAGGAATCATTACAGAACAAAGCATTGCAGTGTATGTTTGCTGGCGTTCAAACAACGTCCCTTCTTTATCTCTCTGTGTTATCCTCAGGAGAGTGATATCATTCATGGTCATCTGGTTGAAATAGGGTGCTTTTCTTAAGGGGATATTCAGAGGTGCCTGTTCCTGCTGGGCCATTTGCCTGCGGCTGAACAGAAATGTTCCCCACTGTTAGCCACGGGGAGGAGCTAGCCACGTAGTGGGGGGAGGCAAAATGCAACCTTGTAACGAAAGCACATGTGCTATGTATGTAATGTTAACAGCAAGGTTTACCGTGAAAGAGTGTACCCATTGTTCTATAAGTGTCTTTTTAAATACCACTGTCCCTTTTTTTCCTCCACCAGCTGCATGTGTTTCAAGGATCACAGGATCTTCTTCTTCCCAGAGGCTAGCGAACATTAGAAGGCGAAAAAAACTGCACTTGTGATGAAATGTTCTCTGAGCTCATGTTGTCCTCCCACACTGACAGAGCACAGATGAATGTGTGGAGGCAGACAATGTCAGAGGGCAAGAAAGCACAAAATGACCAGGAGGAGAGGTGGCGGGCTGAACAGAGTAAGTGGAGGGCTTAAGAGATGGCTGAAGCTGAAAGGTGGCGGCAGCGTGATGAGAGGAGGCAGGATTCAATGCTGAGGATGCTGGAGGATCAAACTAATATGCTCCAGCATAGTGTTGAGCTGCAGAAAACACAGCAGGAGCACAGACTGCCGCTACAGCCCCTGTGTAACCAACCGCCATCCTCCCCAAGTTCCATAGCCTCCTCATTAAGATCAACAAAGGGGGTGGGTTTATATCAAGGAGAAACAAAAACAACTGTCACACAGAACAGCCCCCTCAAGGGCTGAACTCAAAACCCTGGCTTTAGCAGGCCAATGCTCAACCCAATGCTCAACCCACTGAGCTACTCCTCCCCCCGGTATTTCAGGCAGGACTGAATCTCCATTAAACTTTTCAAGGTGCCCTGACAGACCTCACTGAAATGATTGTCAGCTGTTGATTTCATGGAGGGAGGGGGGAGCAAATTAATACAAAACAAATCTGGTGTATTTCTTGTTCTGATCCACTCCATCTATCTTTTACATCTTTGGCTGGCAGCAGACAATGCAGTAGGACTGCTAGCCATCCTCATCTCCTGCCTGCTCGCCATAAGACGGTACAATAGGACTGCCAGCAGGACTAAAGAGAACGACCTGGTCGAGTCACTCCTAATGTAGTCCCTGCGCCCATGTCTGCCCAGGCGCTCCTGACTGACCTTACCGAGGCGGCCAGGAGCACCTCGGACATGACGACGTTGGTTATCAGGCCTATTGCATCGTCTGCTGCCACGAGGCAATGGGTTGCTGCTGTGTAGCAATGCAGTACCATGTCTGCCAGCACCCAGGAGATATATGGTGACAGTGAGCTGAGTGGGCTCCATGCTTGCCGTGGTATGGCGTCTGCACAGGTAACTCAGGAAAAAAAGGCGCGAAATGATTGTCTGCCGTTGCTTTCTCGGAGGGAGGGAGCGAGGGCCTGACATGTACCCAGAACCACCCACAACAATGTTTTTGCCCCATTAGGATCTCAACCCAGAATTCAAATGGGCGGCGGAGACTGCGGGAAAGCTACCCACAGTGCAACGCTCCAGAAGTCGACGCGAGCCTCGGTACTGTGGACGCACTCCGCTGAGTTAATGCAGTTAGAGCATTTAGTGTGGAGAGACACACAATCGACTATATAAAAATGATTTCTAAAAAACCGACTTCTATAAATTCGACCTAATTTCGTAGTGTACATATACCCTATGAGAGGGGAGAAGATTCCCACAGGTTTCAGTGGGTGGCTATAGGTGGCAAAGGATTTTAAAGCTAATGGACATTCTTTCCTTGCCCATTAAATTCTATTCATACTTCTTGCCCTTAATCTCAAGCCCTACATCACACTGCCCAGTCTACATCCCAGATCTGCTCTCCTTTTGCACCCTCTCCACCAATATCACCAGCTTTAATACCCCTCACTTTCCCTCCCCAACTTCTCCTTGCCTTCTTCCAGGCTGCCCCTTATGCCTGGATATCCTTCCAAAAGCAAGTCTCCAAGCCCTCTCAGCTCCGCAGTCAAATCCCATCCAACACCCACTTCTGCACCATCCCCCACAAAAAAAAAAACACATTGTAAAAACAGAGTTACTATACAGGGTGACAAGTTTCAGAGTAGCAGCCGTGTTAGTCTGTATCCGCAAAAAGAAAAGGAGTACTTGTGGCACCTTAGAGAGTAACAAATTTATTTGAGCATAAGGTTTCGTGAGCTACAGATGAAGTGAGCTGTAGATCACGAAAGCTTATGCTCAAATAAATTTGTTACTCTCTAAGGTGCCACAAGTACTTCTTTTCTTTTTACACAGGGTGAGTAACCATCTCTGCTTCCAGTAGTGTCCCTATAGGTGCTCCACTCTAGGTGATTATTAAGCAGTTCCCTCTATGGAAGGAGGGGGGCTTCAGAGTTGAGTCTAAGTTTGAAGCTAGAACAGCGGAGCCAAATATGGCATCAGAAGTGGAGGCATGAGTGACTGCATAGTGTTCAGCAAATGTATGAATGGACATCCAAGTCACAGCTCTACATATTTCTGCAATGGGAATGATCTTAAGAAAGGCTATTAAAGTAGAGAGGGATCTGGTGGAGTGAGTTAATACTCTAAAGAGAGGTCAAAGATCATGAGACTGCTTAAGATGGCATAACGGTTCATCTCTCCTTCCTGCTTTGCCAGTACTTTCCCCTCTCAGAAACAAACTCTCTCTGGCTTCCTCTACCTCCTCCACTTCTACTCCCACTCCCCTCTTCCATTCTCCGTGTCTTGATCTATCCTGCCTTTCATTCTGCTTCTCCCTTCAGCTCAACCATCTCTTTTATAGCCCCCCTTTTGCTTCCCACAACCTGACTGATCTGGGAGTGGAGGGGCTTTGGTGAGAGGTAATAGAACAGTGGTTCTCAAACTTTTTTACTGATGACCCCTTTCACATAGCAAGCCTCTGCATGTGACCCCCCTTATCAATTAAAAAGACAAATATATTTAACACCACTATAAATGCTGGAAGCAAAGCAGGGTTTGGGGTGGAGGCTGACAGCTCCCAACCCCCCCATGTAATAACCTCATGACTCCCTGAGGGGTCCCGACCCCCAGTTTGAGAATCCCTGTAATAGAGGTTCAAGCTAGGCAGGTTTGACCGCCATGGAGGGTCAGGGAAGACAGGATAACCACTCCCATTCCTTGACATCCTGCCCCCCCTTCCCCTTCCAGAACTAAAAATGAAGACTTTAAAGGGCAGAAAAGATGAATCAGTATTTGCCCAATGCCGGCAGTCCCAGACATATCACCTCATTTCATCAGAAGCAGTGGCCTATTTATTCTATTTACTTTTCTTTTCTCTGCTCTGTGTCCTTATTTCTTCCTCTTCTGTCTCTAAACAGACTCTGTCCTCCTTCTCCTGGGTTTTCTGTTCTTCCCAATTTTCTATGCTCTGCTCTTCTCTTATCCCAGTTTTTCCACTCTGTTCTCAGTGAAAAGAAAAGGAGTACTTGTGGCACCTTAGAGACCTACCAATTTATTTGAGCATAAGCTTTCGTGAGCTACAGCATCCCTTCATCGGATACATACTGTGGAAAATAAGGACATAATGAAACATGGAAGATCTCAAAAGGTGGCAGACCAGCGATGACCAGGGTGTAGAAAGACAAGATTAATGGCTGAGAGAGAGAAAAGGATGGATTTTTAGAGGAAGATGTGAATGTTTCATGAGCAAGGATTCCAACATGATACATAGGTTATGAGCCTGGGTGGTGAGGACGACGGTGGAGCTGTAGGTGGTTACAAAAGCGGGAGGAAGCCAGGTGGTTTTGGGAGAAGAGAGAAGTTTAGTTTTCACCACTTGGAGTGTGAATTTGCAGCAGGATATAACTATAAAACACGTGGATCTACAAAGACACTGCTTTACCTGATGTGTCACCAAGCATGTTGTGACTCAGATCCAGAGATTCCATTTTATTGTTAGCCGGGAGGGCATCAGATAGGTACTTAGCTGCATGGTCATCAAACTCATTTCCTGAAAGTTTAAGGGTAAGAACTGTAGTATTCTCCAGAAGCATAGCAGAAAGGGCCTCGGCTCCTTTAACTCCAAGTCTGTTGTCAGATAAATCAACATCTGGGGGAGGGGGAAAAAACCCAAGAACAAAATCACCATTTAGCTAAAGGGGAGATGTCAGAAAGACTCCAGCTGTCCGCTGCGATGGAAAAAACCCTTACAGCAGTATTGCCAAGCCTCAAAGTTCAAAAATTACGAGATTGCCTCCCCCAAATCAATTTTTAATTTACGAAAAGCTGAAATAGTGGCTTTTGCTCTGACTTCTGAGTTTTTAAACTCCTCCTGCCCACCCTTAGTGTGTTTGTGACAATTACCCTGTTGTCAACTCTTCCAAATGTATAGTGAATAAGGTAATTTTGACCCAGCTGATGGAGCTCTGACTACACCCCATAAAGATCAGGGCGCCATTGTGCCTGGTGGTCCACAAACACATAGGGAAAGACAGTCCCTGCCCCCAAAGCACTTACAGTCTAGTGCAAAGCTTGTTGGTGAATTTGTGCTATGACCCACCACACTCATCTCAGCTAGGGGCCTCCAACCAGCCATTAGAGGAGAAGAACCTTCTAATCTTTGCTGAGCTGGGCAGGATTCACACAGCTGCCCCACAGAGGAAAGACTGTGTAGATCATTAGCAACACCCAAGGCATCCAGACCTCCATTAGCGCTAATGGGACACCTTGGAGAATGAGACTCTTTTTGGAAAGACAGGTTTATTAAACCAAGTTCTGACCATTTTGCGGCTCACCTCCACTCTGCACACACATGCAAAATCTTCCGCATAGGCACTGTCCCACACAGCTGCCACAGCCTTCTCTTAAAGGGACAGCTCTCATTAACTAAAACCAAACACTAAAAATGCAACAGTAAAATAAATAGTAACACAACATCAACATTCACTTCACTGAATAATTTCCATTCAAGAATACCAAAAGAATTTTCCAAGGAGCTCTCTGAATCATAAATGTTGATTTTTAACAAACCTTGGCACCAGGGCTTAAATTCTCAGAGATTGTTTCCTGGAGCACCCCTCTCCCCCCCACACCTAGTTTGGGGCTCCAGGCTTCAGCTGCAGGGCAGGCTACGGTGCTGGGGCTCCTGTGGGTTTGAAAATATTTACCTGTTGAATTTAAGCCCTGCTTGGCACATTGGGGAAGTTCCAAAAGACTGGAAAAAAGTCAGTGTAGTGCCAATGCTTAAAAAGTAAACAAGATGACCTGGTTAATCACAGGCTACTCGGAATTGTAAATAATGATGGGGACAGATCAGTTCTACAGTGTGATCTGGACTGTTCAGTAAGGCAGTTTCATCTGAGTGATATGCATGAATATAGCCAAATGCAAAACCATACATCTAGGAACAGAGGTTATGCTTACAAGATAGGGGACTGTAGCTTGGAAAGCAACAACACTGGAAAGGACTTAGATGACAGATAACCAACTGAACATGAGCTCCCAGGGCAATGCAGTAGCTAAAAGGGTGAGTGCAATCTTTGGGTGTACATGCAGGGGAATATCAAAAAGAAACAAGGTGTTCTTACCTCTGTGTACAACATTAGTGAAAACATTACTGGACTACTGGTTCCAATTTTGGTGTCCACATTTTCAAAAGGATTTTGAAAAACTGGAAAGTTCAGAAAAGAACTACAAGAATGATTTATGGACTGGAAAACCTGCCTTAGAGAGAGAGATTTAAAAACTAATATTTAGTTTATGCAAGAAAGAAGGGACTTGATCATGGTCTACAAATACCTACATAGGGAAGAAATTTCTGACAGCAGATGATCTTTAATCTAGCAGAAAAAGGCAGAATGAGATCCAGTAGCTGGAAGATGAAGCTAGACAAATAAGGACTATAGATAAAGTGCAAACTGTTAAAAGTGAGAGTAATCTATCATTGGAACAACTTACTAGGGATGTGGTGAATTCTCCATCAAGACTTTAATCAAGACTAGATAACTCTCTAAACGATGCTATAGCTGAAACAGAAGTTATGGGCTTGATGTAGAAGTTACTGGATGAGTTACTATGGCCTGTACTGCAGGAGGCGAGACTAGATAATCTTAAACTGCTCCTCCTATCTAAGCATCTCCTATTTAAAATGTTAATTTGTTAACAAACACTGTTACTGTACCTCAAGAAGAGCTCTGCATAAGCTAGAAAGCTTGTCTCTCTCACCAACAAAAATTGGTCCAATAAAAGATATTACCTCCCCCACCTTGTCACTTGTACGCTTAAGAGATTTATTAAATCAGCAATTACTTTTATAGTAAATCCAATTATGTAACAATACAAACACTAAAATCAGGTTTTAGAGGACATCAAAATCTATTGTCTTTCAAGGTAAATATTAATCAAGGGTTTAAGTTCTTGCATCAATAAATTCTGATGTCTGTCTCAACAGACATCAATACTTATATATTAAAATGCAGTTCTGAAAAGGGACTGTAAAAAATGGCATGGAGGATTTCATGTGTGTGCGTCTCAATAGTTCCCAGAGCAAATGTATTTAGTTTACAAGTAAAACTATGGCAGCTTGTGCCCAAAATAAGCTGCAGACACCAGTGTCCAGCTCATCCTCCTTGCCTGCCTCCACTGCTTCCTACCTTCCCAACTACCGGCTTGTCAAAGTGATAAACTGGGGGTGTGGAGTGGGGGTCAATGGGGTGTGTAGAAAAGGGGAGACACTCTTCCCTCACCTCAGAATCCATCTGTTGGGGTAGTGCTACTCCAGCTTCATGGAACCTCACCCATCTGAGATCTCAGATATCTGAGGTAGGAGACCTAGGCTCAAGTCCCTGCTCCAGATTAGGCAGCCTTGGGATTTGAACTGAGCTCTTCCACTTCAGAGGGAAGTGCTCAAACCACTGGGCGACTGAGTAAACGCAGAACACCTTCACCACCTCCCTTAAGCCACTTTCTACTTGACAGCTTTGGTGGCTGCCCACCCAGTTTGCTAGCTTCTGTGGCTCCATTTTTTAGGCACCTAACTCTCCCCATGCATTGTCTGGAGAGCTGGTGTACCTGACTCAGGAACGTGGATTCCAATGGGTGGCAGGACACCTAAAACTAGGTGTTGCAAAGCTAAGCAAAGTCCACTTTGTCACCCTAGCCCAGTCCTTACAGCACAGATATGAGCTGGAGCACCCTGTATGGGGCTTAGCTCTGCTAGCCCTTAATCATAAGACAGTTGTTCTAACTGCCAGTCCAGCAAACTCAACGTGGAATCTGAAAGTTAAGATGGGCTTTTTCTGCCTTATGCATCTTCAACAATATCCTGCAACTATTCTCCCAAATTCCAGTTCCGTTACTGATTCATGAACCAGAAGAGAATTCAGCTCCCTCTCCCAGAATGCTATTGACTTTGCAGAGATAACAGGAGTAAAGACATGAATTCATAAAAGTAAAGGCTATGAATACATACATGGAGATCTGAATAAGAAGGCACTATTTTAAATCGTCACTTTTCAAAGTAGGGCCCAATTCTGTAGCCCTCTTTCATGTGAGCAGTGACAATCAATGGGATCAGCCAAATATGCAAACAAGAACTTCCTCCTCTCTCATAAAACCTTATTGCCACATTCTGATACATGCCTTACAACAGAATTACCTTTGAATTAAGACACAAACCTGAAATGTAACAGTTTTCTTTTAACATCTCTGCAACTGCAGCTGCCCCTTCTCCATCCAGCCAATTATCACTCAGGTTTAACTTTACGATGGAGGTGTTGGTCATCAAGGAAAGAGATAAAGCTTTGGCACCCTGGAACATATAACAGCATAATGAGTCACTCATGGGTCTATTTGGTACAACGAGCACTTTTAGTGGTTTGCTTATTTCAGTTTTCCTTAACCTATCAAGAATATATAGATTGACAAAAGCTCGCCAGGCCCTGGCTGCATTTCTGAAGAACACAAGTGAAAGAAAAGGACCTCTACAAGTCCATACCCAACAACAGGTCCCATCCTGCTACCAGTGAAGTCAATTGCAAAATTCTCAGCAACTTCGAATGGATGCAGGATCTAACCCACTGTCTCTTAAGGAAAGTAGTAGAAGCCCCCTTGTGTGAGTGATTTAAAATTAGACTGGAAAAAGCAATGCAGAATAGAGTTAGAGTTCAAAGGATGCAATATGAGTTGGTAAGTGTCATTAATGATTTCTCCATCCACCTAGAAATAATAAAAAAGTTTACCAATATTCATAATGCAGAGAGAGAGAAAATTACAAATATCTGATTTGTGCAACTCGAGGACGCCTGGTGCCTTCACTCATTGTCAGTTCTATCAAGCAATCAGTAACTAATACTAGGATAAGTACCACTTATGATTTTATTTCCGTTATTACTCCTAGGATCTAGAGCCATTAAGTTTGGAATAAATTACTTAACTTGATTAAAATATTTTAAATTTGGAAGTAAATGGACTGACATTATCCATGAAATTAAAAAAAAATCTACACTCTCCAACCCTAAATACAGTGTAAGAAACAAGAGGGTGAAGGGATCTAATAGGTCTACTTCAGTTCTAATTTCCCTAATTCTACCATGTTTATTACCATCACAGGTGAGCATTAAGGCTTGTTGCATTTTACGGCATGAGTCATGTGTTCCTGCAAAGTAAGTTGTGTAAAACCAGAAGCAACTACAAGCCCATTGTGGCTAGGATTGTGACACTAACCTACATACAGAACTTCTTTAAAAAGTTTTAGAATGTTGTTTAAACTTATGAATTTTAACCATATAGAAACACATGTATATTACATTAAAAAAAAAGTGTACACCCAAGGAGGATAAAAATCTTATCCCACAGCCCTGGGTATTCCTGTGGGGTGCAGTGGGGAGAAATCTAATCCACCGTCTCACAAAAAGGACAGCCAGGTGCTGTCAAGATGACAAAGCTGACCAATTCCCCTTAAGATGTGCTAAATTTCATGTGGCATCTCATTTTGCTTAAATACATTTATGTTGTTTGACTGCACTCCCTCTCCCCCTTAGCTGAAAGCCCACTTCCCCTACTCGCCAGTCTTTATAAAGCAACAACAGCTAAAATTCTTAAATGTATTATTCCTTCTTAGGTTTAAATTAAGTCCCCTTGTTCTGGCCTGTCCAATAACTTTCAATAGATCATCAAGTTTTACTTTGTTCATACCCAAACATAATATATTTAATGCTGGTCTACACATAATATACATCACAAAACCAAGAAAGTGAAAAGCTAATATCAGTTTAATTAGTACATATACTTTATTTCCCCCATCCAGAGACACCCCCTAGCCACTGGCACAACCACCATACATCGCAGAGCGCACATTGCAGCCTTCACTGTGCCAAAGTGAAGTGATTTATTCTATTTTCTGCAACCGTTACCTGTGTGCCAAGTCCATGGTGCTTCATAATCAGTTCAGAGTCCTTCATGTGACGCAGGAAATAGGATATGGGTACCACTCTATATAGTTGGCAGGCTGCTATGTATCTGGTCCTTCCAGTTGGGTCAAAAGGTTCCTTGGTTTCTATATTAGAAAAAGGACAACGGACATAGAGAAAACAAGCTGTACAAACAAAAAACAGCACTTCCAAATTAACAATTTTACCAAAAAATGGAAATTAAAGAATTTATATTTCTTTCCAGCACCTTCCCCAGAGTCTCCATGCACTCAAAGTTAACAGAGCAGAGCAGAGTGAGGCAAGACTCAGGAAAGCAGAATTGTCCAAACATACTTGACGCTGCTGCTTGTTGTGTGTTACATGATCACATACAATTATTTACAAGATCCCTGCCTCATTAGAGGCTTGATCCAAAAAAAAGTGACTGATGTCAATGGAAGTCTTGCCATTGATTTCAAATTGGTTTTGGATCAAGCCCTCAGCCCACAAGTTGCATTCTGCTCAGTGAATTCTCTGAGTGATATGGATAAAAACAACGTAACAGAAATTATATAAATAAAGTTGTAAAAATTTAAGCAACATTTAAGGTAAACGTTTAATTTAAATTTTAAATTTGACTAAAAGCAAGTGTTCTGTGTGCAGACCTCCTCTTCACTTTTATTTCAGTAAGTTATATAAAAATAAAGATTGAAGCCGTCTCTCATTCTGGACTCACCATATAACTCACACAATGAATGAGGTGGCCAAGATCTGCAAAAATAATAAGGTAATAATAATGGGTAATTAAGAACTTTAACCTAGTGAACAAGGGAGCATATGTACTTTACCTTATGTTTTCCATCTCCCAACTTTTCAGTCAGTGAATGAGATCACAAACTGTTTGCACTGAGTTTCCTAAGAGTGTTGTTTATTTTTGGTTTTGCTTTGTTTTGTAAAGAGAAAGAAAAAGGAATTAAGAGTACATTCATTCTTCACTTAGAGAAGATCAGGGAAAATTGCATGTTCACTGCCAGTTTTGATACTGTTCTACAGATAAATTGTGCCAGATCCAACCCATGTCATGCTGGAAGAGATTCCTACCACTGTGCAAATCAGGGCAGGTGGGATGTTTTGTACCTTCTATTTCAAGGTCAGTATCCCACTCTTCCTCCCTCTCGCTATCTTCATCAGCCTTCTCCTCACTCTCATTCCCCTCCGAATCATCCGGTGTGTTTGTTCTGTTACAAGCATCTCTTTCCTGGTGCACAGCGCGCTCACAAACGGACCTGGGGACAGTCTTGAAACACACAAGAAGGTTACACAGAAATTCTTCTTTTCAGTGAATATAAAGATCTTACTCTTGGTAAGTAACTGCTTAAGAGTGTAAGCTACTTTGTAACTTCAAAAAAAGAAAAGGAGTATTTGTGGCACCTTAGAGACTAACATATTTATTAGAGCATAAACTGTAGCTCACAAAAGTTTATGCTCTAATAAATTTGTTAGTCTCTAAGGTGCCACAAGTACTCCTTTTCTTTTTACGGATACAGACTAACACGGCTGCTACTCTGAAATTTGTAACTTCAGTTATTATTGAGCCAACTCTTACTAACATTACAGTAAGAAATCCAATGAGTGATTCACAGGCACCCATCTCATAATCTATTTCTGTACTGGTGGAAGGAGCTGGACTAGTAGTCTGAAACTGAAGGTACCTAAACAACAGCCCTGACCTGGAGGGACTTCTAGTGGTGAGGGGTTCATTCAATACTTGCACTTTCAGTTGGAACTGCTAAAGAGTATGACAACAGCACCTGTCCTCTAGAACTGGACTGTCTCCACCACACAATGCATTTCAGACACCTCCCGTGACTTTTGGGCATCTCGTACTACATTTGAACTGATGACTTAGCTGGGAAAGACAACTAGAATCACAATGTTTGGGTCTAAATCCTTTGCACTTGCAGCATCTTTCATCCAATGATCTCCAAGCACTTCAGAAACATTAGTTTGGTTAATCTCATACTCCTGTGAGATTAAATCCTAGTCTTCATCAATTTGGCTACCACCACTCAGAAAGATGGATTAACTGTGTAACTCTTGCAGTGTGTAAATAACAAAATGCAAAGCTTTCTTCACAACAATAACAGCTTGAGATTTACTTTGAAAAAAGACAGCTCAGATTTTGGAGAGTAGCTGAGATCTACCCAGGCCTAACACATTTCTTCAATACCAGCTAGCCCTTTAGACTCCCACTGCACACTGGGGACTTTGCCTAAAGGGCTGGAATACAGCTCAACGGGAATTCTCTAAAAGCACCATGTGGATTTCAGAGCAGGGAGAGCAGGGGGATGGTGCGTGGGGGGGGGGATGGTGCTGTGCGGGGGGGGGATGGGCGTGGGGGGGGGGATGGTGCTGTGGGGGGGGGGAGATGGTGCTGTGGGGGGGGGAGATGGTGCTGTGGGGGGGGGGGAGATGGTGCTGTGCGGGGGGGGGGAGATGGTGCTGTGCGGGGGGGGAGATGGTGCTGTGGGGGGGGGGAGATGGTGCTGTGGGGGGGGGAGATGGTGCTGTGCGGGGGGGAGATGGTGCTGTGCGGGGGGGGAGAGGGGGGGGGGGGAGATGGTGCTGTGCGGGGGGAGATGGTGCTGTGGGGGGGGGGAGATGGTGCTGTGCGGGGGGGAGATGGTGCTGTGCGGGGGGGGGAGATGGTGCTGTGTGGGGGGGAGATGGTGCTGTGCGGGGGGGGGGAGATGGTGCTGTGCGGGGGGGGGGGAGATGGTGCTGTGCGGGGGGGGAGATGGTGCTGTGCGGGGGGGGGGAGATGGTGCTGTGCGGGGGGGGAGAGGTGGTGCTGTGGGGGGGAGATGGTGCTGTGCGGGGGGGAGATGGTGCTGTGCGGGGGGGGGAGATGGTGCTGTGCGGGGGGGGAGATGGTGCTGTGCGGGGGGGGGAGATGGTGCTGTGGGGGGGGGGAGATGGTGCTGTGCGGGGGGGGGGAGATGGTGCGTGTGGGGGGGAGATGGTGCTGTGCGGGGGGGAGATGGTGCTGTGGGGGGGGAGATGGTGCTGTGCGGGGGGGGGAGATGGTGCTGGGTGGGGGGGAGATGGTGCTGTGCGGGGGGGGGAGATGGTGCTGTGCGGGGGGGGGGAGATGGTGCTGTGCGGGGGGGGGGGAGATGGTGCTGTGCGGGGGGGGGGAGATGGTGCTGTGCGGGGGGGGGAGATGGTGCTGTGCGGGGGGGGGGAGATGGTGCTGTGCGGGGGGGGGGGGGAGATGGTGCTGTGCGGGGGGGGGAGATGGTGCTGTGCGGGGGGGGGAGATGGTGCTGTGCGGGGGGGGGGGAGATGGTGCTGTGCGGGGGGGGGATGGTGCTGTGCGGGGGGGGATGGTGCTGTGCGGGGGGGGGGAGATGGTGCTGTGGGGGGGGGGGGAGATGGTGCTGTGCGGGGGGGGGGAGATGGTGCTGTGCGGGGGGGGGGAGATGGTGCTGTGCGGGGGGGGGGAGATGGTGCTGTGCGGGGGGGGGAGATGGTGCTGTGCGGGGGGGGGGGGAGATGGTGCTGTGCGGGGGGGGGGGGAGATGGTGCTGTGCGGGGGGGGGATGGTGCTGTGCGGGGGGGGGGATGGTGCTGTGCGGGGGGGGGGGATGGTGCTGTGCGGGGGGGGGGGGATGGTGCTGTGCGGGGGGGGGGGGATGGTGCTGTGCGGGGGGAAAGAGAAGGGTCTCGGACAGCCAGGCCCCTGGTGGGCAAACCAGCAGCCTCTTCACCTGCTGATTTCAGTGGTGAAACACCCCCCATCCTTGTTCCTGCCCCCCCGTGATGTCCCGCGTCACTCCGCTGCCCCAAACAGGGCCAGGGCTGCAGGCTGCCTGCAGACTCAGGCACACGCCCCAGGGGCCGGGAGCGGCTCCCTCACAAGCGCCGGGGCACAAGGACGGGGCCGCCGAGCTCCACTAGGTCCCTGCCCCGCACGCCAGCGCCCCGCCCCCGGCCTCACCGCGCCGCAGGAGGCGGCGGAACGCACGCTGCCGCGGCGGAGCTCCGCCCGGGGCCGGCTGGGTGGCCGGACCCCAACAACCGCCGCGGGCGCCGGGCCCCGCTCTCTCCGCACCGGCACTGGCAGCATCAGGCAGCGCGATCCCTAGCACCCTACCCGCCATGCGGGCGGGTCACGAGCCACGCCTATGGCCACGCTGCCCAATCAGAAGGGAGAAAGCGGCTCACGTGCGCCTATGGAACCAATCAGCGCTCAGGGGTCGTCTAAAGGGGCAAGTGGCTGCTCACGGCTTGTTGTGCTGCTGCCATGGCAATCCTGGGAGCGGCCCCAGTAAGGGCTGGGCCTGGTGCCTCGGCGCGGCCCCGCCCCCGCCGCGCCTCCCAGCGCTGTTGTGCCCCCAGTGCCCCGCCCCCAGCCCTGCTGTGCCCCCAGTATCCTGGCCCCACCCCCGCCCCTACTGTACCCCCAGTATCCTGGCACCACCCCCGCCGTGCCTCCGAGCCCTGTTGTGCCCCCAGTGCCCCGCCCAGTATCCCAGCCCCGCCCCTGCTGTGCCCTGTCTTCACCCCTACTGTACCCCCAGTATCCTGGCCCCGCCCCTCATCTCTGCTGTGCCCCCAGTATCATGCCTCACCCCCCGCCGTGCCTCCCAGCCCTGCTGAGCCACCAGTGCCCCGTCCCTAGCCCAGTATCCCGGCCCCGCCCCCACCCCTGCTGTGCCCCCAGTATCCTGGCCCCACCCTCACCGCTGCTGTGCACCCAGTGCCCCACCCCCATCACAACTCCCAGCCCCACTGTGCCCCCAGTATCCCAGCTCTGCCCTTGCCATGTCTCCCAGCCCAGCTAGGCCCCACCCCTGCTGTGCCCTCTGTAGCCCTTATCTGCTACCCTCAGACCTGGTGCATGGTTGTGGTCTCTTGCTTGATATGCAGCACCAACTCTTGGCCATATAACTATGTCGCTCGGGAGCAGGGAAAATCCCCCCGGGCGAGGTAGTTATACTGGTGCAGAGAGTGCTGTGTCAATGGGAGGGCTTCTCCTGTCAACATGCTACCGCCTCTTGGGGAGATGGATTAACTGCATAGGTAGCATCTTCACTAAACACGGCACTGCTGTAGGTGTGGACAAGCCCTCAGTTACAGCTGCACAGCACCTTCCCCATCCCAGGACTGCTGGGGGATGTAGGTGCTGGTCGTGCCCACTGTTGTCACTTCTGAGCCACGCAGATGTAGGTGGTTTCAACACCCTTTGTGCTACATGAACATTTGCAAGGATCTGCTCTCTGGGAATGTTTTCAGAAAAAAATTGTGAAAACTTTTAAATAATGGAAATATTGGTCCATTGAGCCTGGCAAAACAAAAAATGTTTTTATGAAATCGTTTTCTTTTTCAACCACCTCTACTTTCCATTTGTTCTGATACTAACCGGGAGCTGCCAAAAAAATGGAAAAAAGGAAAAAATGAAGTAACAATTGGCCAACTGGAGTCTCCTGGTAGTCGAGTGGTTTGAAATGGTGACATTTTCCCCAATAAATAGGGCTTCTAGACTGCAGGTTGCACTGACAATCCCTGCAGGTGATTTAGTAAGTGATTGTTTCTGCTGGAACAGTGCTCAGTGGCTCCAGCCCCACTGTAAAATAATAGTTACAATGTAGACCCTTTGTTTTACAATATCCTGACAGCTTCTTTTTTCATACTGTTCTTTCTCAGGTTGCCAGAAGGTGGCATATCCCACATGGTCTGCAGAAATGCAATGAGAACTGCAGCTGGTGACTTAGGCCTTGTCTTAAAAAGCTTTGCCATTTTAACTATGCAGATGTAGTGACAGCAGCAAACCCTGCCCAGGCATGGGCACAGTTAAAAGGCTTGTGTAAACAAACAGTGTGTGGCAAGCTGGGGTGTAAATCTCCCCTAAACAAGCCCTGCACACCAAGTATCCGTGTAGACAATGCTGCAGTGCACTAAAAGTTCCATAGTGTGCTCTGATCTACTCTGCCACGTCCCCCAACCCCTTTGAAATGGGAGTAGAATAAAGTGAACTGGGGAACTTTTAGTGCATGGCAGGCTAATTTGGGATAGATTTACACTCCAGTTTGCCATGCATTGTTTGTGTAGGCTAGCCCAAACTGGTAGGAGTGCCTTATACTGGTCTAGCTTATTCCAGTTCAGAAAGCAATAAGTAGGGCTGTCAAGCGATTAAAAAAAAAAAATCGCGTGATTAATCGCGCTGTTAAACAAAAATAGAATACGATTTATTTTAAATATTTTGGATGTTTTCTATATTTTCAAATATATTAATTTCAATTATAACATAGAATACAAAGTGTACAGTGCTCACTTTATATTTATTTTTTATTATAAATATTTGCACTGTAAAAGACAAAAGAAATAGTATTTTTCAATTCCACCTCATACAAGTATTGTAGTGCAATCTCTTTATCATGAAAGTTGAACTTACAAATGTAGAATTATGTACAAAAAATAACTGCATTCAAAAATAAAACAATGTAAAACTTTAGAGCCTATAAGTCCACTCACTCCTACTTCTTGGTCAGCCAGTTACTCAGACAAACAAGGTTGGTTACAATTTGCAGGAGGTAATGCTGCCCACTTCTTGTTTACAATGTCACCTGAAAGTGAGACCAGGCATTCACATGGCACTGTTGTAACTGGCTTTGCAAGATATTTACGTGCCAGATGCGCTAAACATTCATATGTCTCTTCATGTTTCAACCACCATTCCACAGGACATGCGTCCATGCTGACGATGACTTCTGCTTGATAACAATCCAAAGCAGTGCAGACCGATGCATGTTTATTTTCATCATCTGAGTCAGATGCCACCAGCAGAAGTTTGATTTTCTTTTTTGTTGGTTTTGGTTCTGTAGTTTCTGCATCAGAGTGTTTCTCTTTTAAGACTTCAAAAAGCATGCTCCACACCTTGTCCCTCTCAGATTCTGGGATGGCACTTCAGATTCTTAAACCTTGGGTCAAGTGCTGTAGCTATTTTTAGAAGTCTCACCTTCTTTGCATCCGATGAAATGAGCTGTAGCTCACGAAAGCTCATGCTCAAATAAATTGGTTAGTCTCTAAGGTGCCACAAGTTCACCTTCTTTGTATTTTGTCAAATCTGCTGTGAAAGTGTTCTTAAAACGAACATATGCTGAATCATCATCCAAGACTGCTATAACATGAAATATATGCAGAATGCAGGTAAAACAGAGCAGGAGACATACAATTCTCCCCCCAAAGAGTACAGTCACAAATTTAATTGATGCATTTTTTTTTTAAACGAACATCGTCAGCATGGAAGCATGTCCTCTGGAATGATGGGCGAAGCATGAAGGGGCATATGAATGTTTAGCATATCCGGCATGTAAATACCTTGCAATGCCGGCTACAACATAAATAAGAAGCAGGCAGCAGTATCTCCCATCAATGTAAACAAACTTGTTTGTCTTAGCGATTGAGTGTACTTGTAAGCTCTAAAGTTTTACACTGTTTTGGTTTTGAGTGCAGTTTTGTAACCAAAAAAATCTGCATTTGTAAGTTACACTTTCACGATAAAGAGATTGCACTTCAGTACTTGTATGAGGTGAATTGAAAAATACTGTTTCTTTTGTTTATCATTTTACAATGCAAATATTTGTAATAAAAAATAATATAAAGTGAGCACTGAGCACTTTGTATTCTGTGTTGTAAATTGAAATCAATATTGAAAATGTAGAAAAACATCCAAAATATTTAATAAATTTCAATTGGTATTCAATTGGTATTCTATTGTTATAAACGCGATTTTTAAAATTGTGATTAATTATTTTTAGTTAATCATGTAAATAACTGCAATTAATTGACAGCCCTAAATATAAGCTATACTGGTACCTCTAATAACCACATCCAAACTTGAACTTTTACCAGCATAGCTATGTCAGCAAAAACTCACACAACTAACCAATGTAGCCATGCTGGTAAAATGTTTGAAGTGTAGACCAGGCCTTAATCCCAACCTTAATTGTGCCTGGAGCAGGAGGAAGTGATACGTGTAGATAGTGCTGGAATGTCCCACCATAACGATTCAAAGCACCCGCTCTGCTGTTAGCATAACTGGGTTGAAGTCTGATGGCTGGGTCCTCAATTGGGGTGAGCCATGGAGCTCCAGCGAATTCAGTACAATAGCTGAAGACCCATCCCCGAGATTTGAGAATGGCCAATGCATTTCCAGCTAGTCATAATCACATGTGCTGTGGCCCAGCCTGCCCTGATGCGTAAGTGGGAGTTTTGCATTCACTCCCCTAGGAAGAGGACAGTTTAGTCTTTCTTTTACAGGCAACTGCTGCTCTTGTTTCTAACTAAGACCCCCACTTATTAAAACATACCTATGTAACAAGACCATCTACAAGGGTTTGATCCCCCAGTCCTCACTCATATACAGCTCCCACTGACTTCAGTTGACTAAGTTTAAGCTCAAGTGTAAATGCACCTAGTAGCTGAGTCTAATTTTAAGAGCATCTGTGAGCCACTATTTAACTGAAGGGCGGAATGTGAACTGCTATTTCAGACCAGCCCCCACGGAATGCGCTGGTTTGCGGAGACACCCCCTACATTGCAGTCGCCTCCCACCAGGAACTGCATTCAGGCAGGAAACTACTGACACTTTGTTGTGTTTTAGGAAAATCTTGAGCCATTTGGTACAAAATTTATTTCCTGGTATCCTAAAATGCATTTAACTCCCTGCACGCAAAGCAACATATGACTAGCAAAAAACCTTCCTCCCCATCTAAGGGGGAAGTTCAGCTCACTCTGCTCCAAGCCCAAGGAATTGGGCTCATTTAGGGGGCAGGGGTGTTGCACCCTCTGTGCTGGCTCCCTCTCCAGGGCAACTAGAGGGTGTAAACAAACCCCTCGTGGCACCTCTGCCCCACAATCTGTCATGCAAGCTCTTCACAATATACTAGGGCTGGCATTTTCCAGACTGCATACCTGGAATTAGGCATCTAAATTACACTGGCTTGTTAGAGGGCTTATTCCTTCACCCACTTACTTCCCTGGTCCTTCTCACATGAAGAGAGAGCAACAATACCCGAAGTCCAAAGGTGCAAACAATTCGATGTTTATTGGGGTGAACTTCCA